TTCTGGACAACCTGAGGAGACCAGTTGTTGGAGGTTCTGGAGGACCTGAAGAGACCAGCTGTTAGAGGTTTTGGAGGACCTGTGGAGACCAGTTTTTAGAGGTTCTGGAGGACCTCAGGAGACCAGTTGTTGGAAGGTTAGGAGGACCTTAGGAGACCAATTGTTGGAGGTTCTGAAGGACCTGGGGAGACCAATTTTTGGAGGTTCTGGAGGACCTGAGGAGACCAGCTGTTTCAGGTTCTGGAGGACCTGAGGAGACCAGTTTTTGGAGGTTCTGGAGGACCTGAATAGACCAGTTGTTGGAGGTTTAGGAGGATCTAAGGACACCAGCTGTTAGAGGTTCTGGAGGAGCTAAGGAGACCAGCTGTTGGAGGTTTTGGAGGACCTGAGGAAACAAGTTGTTGGAAGTTTTGAAAGAGCTGAGGAGACCAGTTGTTGGACATTCCGGAGGACCTGAGAAGACCAATTGTTGGAGGTTGTGGAGGACCTGAGGAGACCAGTTATCAGAGGTTCTGGAGGACCTGAGGAGACTAGCTGTTGGAGGTTCTGGAGGACCTGAGCAGACCAGCTGTTGGATGTTTAGGAGGACCTGTGGAAACCTGCTCTTGGAAACCAGATATAGGAGGTTCTGTAGGACCTCAAGAGACCAGTTGTTGGAGGTTTAGGAGGACCTACTGTAAGGACATCAGCTGTTGGAGGTTCTGGAGGAGCTAAGGAGACCAGCTGTTGGAGGTTTTTGGAGGACCTGAGGAAACGAGTTGTTGGAGGTTTTGAAAGACCCGAGGAGATCAGTTGTTGGATATTCCGGAGGACCTGAGGAGACCAATTGTTGGAAGTTCTGGAGGACCTGAGGAGACCAGTTCTCAGAGGTTCTGGAGGACCTGAGGAAACTACCTGTTGGAGGTTCTGGAGGACCTGAGAAGACCAGCTGTAGAATGTTTAGGAGGACCTAAGAAGACCAGCTGTTGGAGGTTTAGGAGGACCTGAGGAAACGAGTTGTTGGAAGTTTTGAAAGAGCTGAGGAGACCAGTTGTTGGACATTCCAGAGGACCTGAGGAGCCCAACTGTTGGCGGTTCTGGAGCCCTGAGGAGACCAGTTGTTAGAGGTTTTGGAGGACCTGAGGAGACCAGCTGTAGAAAGTTTAGAAGGACCTAAGAAGACCAGCTGTTGGAGTTTCTTTAAGAGCTAATAAGACCAGCTGTCTGAGGTTTTGGAGGACCTTAAGAGACCATTTGTTAGAGGTTTTGTCCCATTCTGGTCTGATGGAGGACTCTAGGATGCATATGTTCTAAAACCTGTATTTCTGCAGTGATGTGATTCTTGCCAAATGTGTAAACTTGCAATGCCAGAGGCACTAATGTACCAGCTGGTTTTGATTCAGATCTTTTCATGACCTTCTTTTGCTCCTGGAACTTCTTTTTTAAAATATGCTGTTGTCATAAAGTTTAAAATTACATTCTTTCTTTAGTTTCAACATTTGATACACATACTGTGTTCCACAGTGAAAAAAATATGGGTTTATGAGATGCGCAGATCATGGAAATCTATTTATTTTAATTTTAAACAATACACTAACTTTTTAGAATTAGACCTGTAAATACAAAGTTTCTGGTCTATTTTATTTTAACATTTTATTTTATCTGTGCATAAGAAACTATAAGAAAACACATCATACTGTCAGTTTTGCACAGATAATAAAATGTGATGGTGTTGCAGACTGGTTCTGACTTTAAGCTTACACTAAGACTAATAATACATCCCACTTCTACAGATCTACCTTGAACATTTAAGATGTTCCTAATTAGCCGTACTTCATATGTCTTCCTGTTCTGATGCTGTTCTAAGGTGGATGGTTGGTTTTACTCCACCTTAATCTGTCCTTACATAAATCTGATTGGTACAGAGGTGATGGCCGTCAGTGTGTTGTACCTGTCAGGGACCGGGTGACGGCGCTCTCGTACAGTGGAACTCCTTCTCCGGCATTGTTGAAGGCCTTCAGGGAGATGACGTAGTGCGAGCTGGGCTCTGAGGGGTAGAAACAGGGCTTAATTTGAGCTGGATCCTGCCAGAAGTTCTGAGAATGCTCTTATTTTGACAGGGTGCTCAAAACTGTTTGCTTGGATCTGGTAACTCTCAGGCCTAATAATAATAAATTTATGAACAAATTTGACAGCCTTGGACAAATAAAACCTGTATTGTATTGTAAACTGAAAATAATTACATAAAAACTAATTTTAAACATAACAAGCTTCCTAATATCACACCAGAGCTTTCGCTTCGCATTTCTGCTTCTGCTTTAAAAAAATCTCCGCCATTAAAAGTTCAAAGTCATGGGTAGTTTTATTAAAAAACACAAAAATGTAATTAAACGTTTGGTTTACTATGCATAAGTTCCTGTATTTGTATTTGGTGAACAATCTGATGTGTGAATCACTGCAGGAGTTATCCAAACTTTCACTGAACTGCAAAGAAGAGACAATGATCTCGGCAAATAAAGTGCTTTGTCATGCAGTCAGAGTATTGAAGAGATGTCTGAGCGACCCAGACGCTTTTTTGAATTGAGCCAGAGGGGAACTGCGAGTAAATCTTTTCTAAGCCAGTGACAAAGTGCTAAATATTAGGCAGTTTTTTTCAAAGTGTGACCAAAAACTTAGAGCAGTGCTTGTTGTCCCACGGTGCGGAGCAGGGAGGATGAGGAGGCGCACCTGACCGTGGAGTGGGATATACTAAACAACTAGTAGATAAGAAATGATCCTTTACTTAATACACTTGTACATCACACAAAGTATTTAAAAGTAAATTATAAATATGAACTGGTTTCAGTGTCGATTTTAGCCTCTTTTTGGGGGTGCTTAAACACCCCAACATTTTAACTCAGCACCTCTGAAAAATAAAGAAATCCTCATTAGGATTTTGTAAGGAAACAGTTCTCAAACCTAAGATTCACCAAAATATTGAATACATATGGAATAAATTATGACAGTCTTAAACGAGCCAGTAAAATCTATGATTTATTTTTGCACGAGTCGCGCCACCTGTCAATCAGTCCAGTAGGCACGTCAGCAACTGACCAACTGGCGACATCAATTTGTCCAGAAGTGAACACCCCTTACCTGCAGAGCTACAGTGGTTTTGCATTACGAACGCTTTGCAGTCATAGAGATTTCAATAATGAGTTTACATCTTTTGTTTCATATTAATCTACTGTAATGAACCTTTGTACAATACACCAGAACGGAGGAAATAGCATTCACTTTATTCAAAATTCTCTGGGGGAGGACCCCCAGACACTCCCCCACTAACACCCCCGCCCCCCTGGCCCGCCCGCTGTACGTATTCCGGCATCGTTTGAGTTACAAATTAAGCACTGGGTAGATAGGAAGAAGAACTTTAAATAACACTCAGCATTAACATTTTGACACGTCAGACATTGAACAGATTGTTTAATGTCAAGCAGGAACGACAGGAAGCTTTCACATATTTTCCTTTTTCCTCCCGATGAAACAGTATTATCCTCTGAGTTACTTCTTCCCCTCAGTTCTGACCTAACTCGAAATGCTCATCCGATCCAACAGCACGGCGCGTTTCCTCCATGTTCCACCAAACTGTTTTCAGCAGAACCGCTGAGCTGGCTGCTGTGCTCCCCAGAAGCCTCGCCACATTAATTAATGATAAGCATGAATTATAGACGCTCCGTACGTGTGCATGGAAAAACATCTGGAATTTAGCTTTCATTACCACTCCATTATGAGATCTGAGGGGGAAATTTTCAGTGCCACATTAAAGATTCGTCCAATTTGTTTTTGTCTTCTTTGGCATCCAAATTGCTTGTTCCTCTCATCAGGAAGAATTTTCACAATTAAATTTGCACTTCGACTAGCTTTCTTATTGAATTCCTTTAAATTATTGATTGTAATTAAATGGCGATTTCATCATTGCAATGAATTAATGGAAGCAGAGGAGCACTGTGTCAGTATTGGCACTTTGTCTGCAGGAGGTGGAGGATTTGTGGAGGGTGATGTTGTACATGTGTGGTGAGCAGATGTTTCAATGAGGCAATGAGCAGGTGTAACATCTTAAATACATAGCAGGGGGTCCAGACGTAGGAGGACAAAAAGTGTATCAAATTAAGTCAAACTGTTCTTCCTATCTGCAGTCGGAGAACATTTTATATTTTCTCTGCCTTAAAAACATGACTTAGTACAGCCAAAACTAAAGCTACGTTCACACTGAAGGCAACAGTTGCCCACATCAAATTCTTTCTGTGATCCAGGTTTCATTTGTACCCACACACTGTAAACAAATGGTGAGTTGCGGACTAAAAAATAGGCAAGTGACAATTAAGTATATATAAAAAATCAAACAACTGTGGAGTTTGATCCACAAAGAAAAGTCCTGCCCACTTTTCGAAAATGTAAACCTCATTTTACAATGACACATCAGCTAATGTAGTGTCTCAATGGTCCACTCAGGCTCCTCCCACTGGTATAATTTTTCTGAACTGGAGACACGACTTTGTACTTTTCCATGCTTTCTTGGCTCGGTTCCAGGGACGTTGCCATGGATACAGCATGAATACATCAAGGGCAGGAATTGTTTCATTACTGACCTTTTTACAGTCACGAACACGCTGCCTTGTGGTCAAGATAATTTCATGCCTACTTACAGTTCATGGAAATACATGAACTCTAAAAAGTACTCATGTCTAACTCAGCTAGCTGCTCTGCAGTCATTCAGAAGCCCAGCAACGTTACAGGCTACTATCACACCGTCAACTGCATTATAAATATGTTTGTATTAAAACATCAATAAAAACGTAGGTGTATAGGACCAAAACAAGAACTGAAAACAACCGGTAATAGCAATGAAACTACTGAAGCACGTGTTGCCTCATTTTACACATGAGCATCAGTAACTGCAAAAATAGTCAATCAGGGAGGTGGACAATAAACAAGGAGATTTAGTAACAGAAATTTTCAAAGAGTACATATATTAAATAAAACAAGAATGAAACACTGTGTCAGAGCATCTAACTGTGTTTCCCTGGAGACAGATGGAGTGACAGTACTTTAGGAACAAGGAGCTGTCACAAGTGAGGCCTACTGGAACTTTAAGTCCGCTAACAAGGTTCACATCTTGCTCCTGTCTGTTGTGGGCATGTCTCGGAGCAGTGGCGGCTAGCCCATAGAGGGCACTAGGGCGCTGCCCACCCACTGGAACCACTCACCATTTTACATTGAAGACTTAAAATAATTAAATAAAAATGAAATAATAAAATAAAAAAATATTTATAAATATATGTACATTATTTTTTATTGTGTAAAATAAATATTTTATTGTTAGTGATGAGTTAAGTTGTTTCTTTCAAAAATGTTGTCTGTTTGGTGACGTACATCCGGCCCCTTGGGGCACAAGAATCTTTGCTCATAAACTATCATTAAAAATTGGACATGCGCACTAGCGCCTCTTTTTACAAGAGATGAGAAGATTCTGGGCACCGATATCTGCGCCCGGGGGCATGGATGAATGTGAATGTTACCCATTGATTGTACTTCCGGTCCGGACAGATTTTTTTGGTTGTTTTTTGTCTGGGAACAGATCTGTGCAGTGACACTCTCAACCAGGCTGGCTGCAGGTAGGCTTTAAGCCACTGAAAACCCTTTATCTAATGCCTATTTGCCATTTCTGACTGATATGCCTTTCAACTTTTAGATGCCTCTGTTTGTGAAAAAAAAAAAAATCTTCATTTGACTCTGTATTCTAAAGTGGGAACTGATGAGTTTGTTTTTTTGTTTGTTTCTGGAGCTAGCATGCTAACGCTAACTTTTTTCTAATGCCTATATTATTATGTTGCCATTTCTGACTGAAATGCCTCTCAACTTTTAGGTTTGTGAATAAACCTTCTGTCACGAATCACGTCCCATAGATTATATTTTCTGTCAACCTGATCACCCTTTAATGTTTGCAATAGATCTTTTCTGTAAGTTTCATTTATTCTGTCTGCTCAGGTAATGTTTATTTATACATGTTTGTTTTGGTGTGTCTTCTTTGCATGCTGGTTGAGGGCGACGTCACGGTTATTTAGTTTTGTCTTCACTGCATCCAGCAGCAGCTGATTAGAACTCAACTGGCTGCACCTGTCACTCTCACCCTTTAAAAGCTTCACTCTTCCTTCTCTTTGTTGCCCGGTAGTTGAAAACATTTCACTGTAAGTAGATACCTCACATTCATGACCCTGCCTTGTTTCCCCATAGCCTTAGAGTCTCCTTGTCATAGTTTACCTGTCTCCTGGTTCCTGTCCGGCTCCTGGTTCCTGTCCCTACCTCTTGGTTCGACTCCCGGCTCCAGGACCCACGACTTACCCGGACATCGTCTCTCGCTCGACCCTTTGGATTACCACGTCTTCTGCCTTCAGTTCTGACCTTCACCTGCACGACTACGCCTCCTCGTCTTCTCCTCCGGTACCTCCTGTCATCTGCTCTCCGGTTTTGGACCCAGGCTTGTTTGACCACATCTCTGCGCTCAACGGACTCAACACCCACCTGTCGCTGCGGCCGGCTGCAGCCGGCTCCTCACCGGACTCAGCTTCTCCAGCAGCGATCCGGATCAGTTTGGACCTCGTCAGTCTCCAGAACCCCCAAGATCATCTGAGATGGTTAGTGGTCCTCCACATTCTGATTTTTTGCTCTTCACTATCTCCTGCACGACCACTAAACGATCTCTGCCTCATAGACTCGTTCCTGATCTGGAACCAGAAACAGAACCCGAACCAGAACCCAAACCAGAACTAGTACCAGAACCGGTCCAATCTGCAACACTTCATCTTGGAAATTAATATAATTTAATTTTGACCTTGTGTGGTGATTGTGGTCCAACTGTAAGGGGGTTTGTTACAGAACTACCGGGCCAGAATGGACCACTCACCACCAGCAGATTGGCGCTCCAGAGTAGAAGGAGCTATCATGACGTTGGAGTCTGGCATGGAGGACATACCATACCATACCATACCATACCATACCATTTTA